TCTGTGTAGAGAGAGAGAGAGAGAGGGAGGTATCTGGTGTAAAGGTAACACCCACGCATGAAAGAGAGAAGAGAGAGAAAGGTAACACCCACCCTCCCATGAAAGAGAGAAGAGAGAGAAAGGTAACAGCCACCCATGAAAGAGAGAAGAGACAGAGATCCCATGCGTGGTGGGCAGGCCTCTCTCTCTCTCTAAAGAGTCAAGAAGACATCTCTACTTTCCTATCACGCAATCACGAGGGATCCCTGAATTTACAACTTTTGCCTACAATCACACACACACACCCTCTTCAACAAAAAGTTGGCCAACCCACCAAAAAATCAATCTCTCTCTCTCTGACTGAAAAATATAGAAAAAAAACAACAGTAATTGAGATGAACTCTCTCTCTCTATCTCTCCATAGAACAAATGTTACTGAAGTAACAACCAACACTAACGACCATGGCTTCCCGTCAAAAGCCACCTGAGACAAACATCAGCACAAGGCTTAACCAACTTTAAAAACACTGAAAAAATCCATGGCTTCCTTCTTTTGTCTGAACAGTGAGCCGAGGAGAACTTCCACCCGCTCCTCCAATGCCCAAAGCTTTGTTGGGTGTCTCTGGTTTTTCCAGAGAAGCGGCAAAAAGGGAAATGTGGGCCTTCCTGAAGCTCTCAGACTCAATTATGGTGGTGGTGGTGAGGAGTATAATTTGGATAGGAGGTGTAGCAGTGTTGAATCATGGACCATGTTCTTGGAATATGATATGGGCGATCAACCTGCTGTTTCAGAGGGGGCTGGAGAAGAATGGAGGGCTGATATGTCGCAGTTGTTTATTGGGAATAAGTTTGCTTCTGGTTCTCATAGTAGGATATACAGGGGGATTTATAAGCAAAGAGCAGTTGCAGTGAAATTGGGGAGAGTTCCTGAACAAGATGAGAACACTCGAGTGTTGCTCGAAAAGCAATTCTCTTCGGAGGTTGCTTTGCTTTCTAGGCTTTTCCACCCCAATATTGTTGAGGTATGTTTCAACCCAGTTTCAGTGAAACTTCTTGTTACTTTTCTTTTTGCTGGAATTTTTCAATGATGGGACTGGATTTTGGTTTTCCTTCTTTGTTTTGTTTTTTTCTTAATTTTTCAATGATTAGGTGATTCAAGGAGTGAAATTTTTATGTTCTTTTATTTATTTATTTTAATATTTCATTAAAGAGTTTAAACTTTTTTTTCTCTGATAATTTTCCCAAGCCCAATAACGAGTTACGCCTTCAAAATGAATTTCATTTTTAATTTTGGATTTTTATTTGTAGTATTGGCGTTCTAAGAGGGCCAGAATATTCTTTTTTTCAAAAAAAGAAAATAAAAATTAAGAGGCGAAAAGAATTGCCTTTCCTCTGCATTTCTTTTATTAGTTTTTTTTTTTCGGCATTTGTTTGATTTAAGATTGAATTTGGATTCTGAGACTAGTGATTTGTATGGGTGATTGTCCAATAAGTTTTGGGTGCAATATCTGAGTGAGACTGTCAATTTGAATCTCTCATTTTGATTGACTTTTTGAACATAATTTTTTATTGAACTTTCTCTTTAACAATTTTGAAGATCCCCAGTTGGTGGAAATTGGAATTGTGGATTACAGTTCCACGTCTTGGTGGGACGATGCAACTTTTTCTTTATTTCTTGTTTTTTATTTATTTTCCTACTTTTCGATTAAAATGAGTTTAAAAAAGATCAATCAAATGGAATTTGATTTCACCTCATCATCATCGGAGCCTTATGCCCACTATTTGGGGTCCATAAATGAATATTGTTTCGCCATTCATAAATACGTTCAAGATTCCTGAAAGATTTGGGCCAAGTTTATACTGGCTGCCTACCTAACGCAACCCTCCTCCTCTATCAGGTTTGGGACTGGCTTCGGACCGGCCATAGTGGAGTTGAGTTTGATTTTCACATAAGGACATGAATTTGGATGAGCATTCTTCATTCGGTGAAGTTGAAATGGTTATTGAGGATGTTAACTTGCTGATCTAATTAAATCCTTCCTTGGAAATGCAAACCCCTAACGTTTCGATTTGGACTTTTTTGTTTTGCATCTCATGAAGGTGATCACATGGCAATATATTAGCTGTTCATTGATTACTTATTTGCATGGAAGAACTATGCAATGAAATTGGTTTCTTCAAACCTCAAAACCAGCTAGAGAAGCTTGTTTGAGTGCACAGGATTCCTTATGAAAGTCGACTTAACCAAAGTTCTATATGTAACGAAAACCTTTCTATGTTCATCTCTACCAATATCTACTGTTTAGAGTTGTTTAGGCAGTGGACCTTCTCATGTCATCTTTGCACGTGCCACGACTTTGCAACATAGGTAATGGTTGATCTAGCTGTTGTAATCTTTTCACTTGTCGTCTTATAAAGTCTCCTTTGGAGTGTATTGTCCTCAATCCCGTCGTAGCAATCCCCTGTCATTGTCCTTCACCTTGTTCTAATATACATCCTATGGTCTCCTTTCATCAGGAAGATAACAGGAGCATTCATGCTTACTTTCTGAAACTACTCTTCTTGCTTGGCTTGTGGCTGATATAAATGGGGGAGATTAGTTTCTGTATGTTCTAGTTTTAGTACAGAGTACACTGAATAAAAAAATGTTCTCATCTGTGCATGTGAAAGAATGATCATAAATGAAACTCCTTGAATAATTAATATGGCTTTGCTTAGCCAAAGAAAGAAAACAGTAGTCCAACATTCATTTCAAATAAATCAAGTTGAAGAAACATAGGCATGATTTACATGGCTTTATGAATCACGCATCAAACTCATACTCAAAGATGTACTTTTATTGTCCTAGAATATTAACTGCTGGCACTGATAGGTCTCTTTCTATATGAATCTGCATTAGTGAGCAATCATAAAAGCACCACTTTTATCAATGCCAGAGATTCATCAAAAGAGAAAAGTTTTTGGTTTAAACAACAATAGAATTTGAATGCTAGTGTACTGACAGAAGCGGTCAAAAAAAAAAAATGTTACGAAAGAAAAAATTGGAAGCGGGTTTTGGTAGGTACAAATCAAACTGGTATGGTTCAACTTGATTTTAACCATATTCTGACTGCATCGTGGTGTTACAATCTAGTTGCCCACTTCTGTTCTTGATTTGTCCTTCTGTCCAGATTGACCTTGTCCCTGTATCATGGGGAAGTAGTAGTGTTTTGAGATTGAGCTAACATAGTTGTCAAACTCATAAAATTCAGTATGTTGCTGAACTTTGGAAACAATGGTTAAATAAATTTTAACTTGTTTGGAAATGCAAGGCGAGTCAATGGATCATGACCTTCTTGGGCTTTTCTCCATTTTCTAGAACTATACATTTCCCATAGCTGTTCCATCATGCTGCGTGGACGGTGAATGATGACAGAATTATCACATGGCATAAAAATCTCAGAGGTAAGGGATGGTTTTGTGAGAACCACTTTACACTAAAAAAACAGTGTTCTGTGAGAAACATGCTGCAGTAGTTGTTTGAAGTTTTGGTGGGTATTTATTTACATTTTGTTATTACATTTGACGAGATTTATTTGAATGTGAGCACTATCATATCTTCCAATGACAAGAAGGAACACTGAATCTTGAAAAACAAAAACAATAGTACATATTGAGCCTTTGAATTGGTAAGTATCTATCATCAAGATGGAATATAATATGATATGCTCTATCACGTGGTAGGTGAAAGCATTGTTTATGGCATGTTAGGTAAATGATGATGGGTTACTAAGCAAATTTATCACTAGCCAGTGTACACCGCTCATCTGGGAATGCTATTTATACGGTGTGATAGTTCTTGCATGATACAACATAAAACAGTCGACAATCTTGGCACCGTAGCGATTCCCGAGCTAATGGAAAGTCTTAACTTGTCATCTTCTTTGTGCACCCATCTTCTTCATCTACTTTCATTGCACTTTACTTACTTCTTTCAAGGTTGGGTAATTCTTGTTCTCTTTTGATAGTACCCTTGCATAAATTCTCTCTCCATCTAGTCTTCTTCTGCTAAGGCTCCTCCTCCTCTGGCTTCAGAACCTCTATGATCTACTATGTGGCCTTGGCTTGTAGAATTCCCTTGAGCATGCTAAATATTCAACCAAGTCAAGTCATCTCACTCAAGCATTCAATCTGCTTTCTCTACTCGCCATGTCCCATTTAGTTGTGTGACTTCTTTCAAGGTGATTGTCAATCTCTCTCTTGATATAAGGCATTGATTCTACTATAGTGCACAACCTCATATTTTTCCGTGCTCCAAAATTGTTCTACTACTGAGCTGTAAGATGATCTACTATATTTTTTATCTAGTTCATCTAGTGTATCATTTATCTTTCTCTGATCTTCTTGTCAGTTTTATATTTATCACTGAGACGATTTTTTAATATCAGTTTTCCAAGCGATAAATATGGAATTGAACATTTGCTCATATTGCCCTTCCACCTTAAACATTTATTGAAAGCTGTAAAGGAGGGTAATTAAATGAGACGTCGACTTGAGGAAACTATTTTTCGACTATTAATTTCATTTTCCAGTTCTTATTTTTGAATTCAGTAATGTTTTCTGTTGCAGTTCTTAGGTCTGGGGTACAAGAAACATTCATGGGCCCCAACCATGTAGCAAGGAGACTTCCATTGATTAGCCTGCTCTTTTCATAAGATGAAAAATGCTCCTCTCACCATCATCCACTTTAATGTCGCCTTTAAACTTCTCAAATTTCTTCAATATGTTCATGGGAATCCATTGGTGGGATATAAATTGGTTCTGGGATTGCAGAGTGTAGCATGTAAATGGGCAATCTTCCTTGAAAGGACATCATATTAATGTTCCATGGTGTTATTCTTCTTTCTACACTTTCTGATCTGACTGTTAGTATGCAGGTTCTAGATCCCTTGAATGACATAGACAAGAAAAAGAGTTCATTTATAGGGACATCAAACTATGATCTATTCACTATCACATTAAATACACACACACAGAGTGACATAGAGAAGCCCATATTACTTATTTCAAATTGTCATACTAATCAAGCGAACCAAAACTCAATGTTCCTATCTGTCTATCCATCTATATATATTTGTACCTAATCAGTCTATCTATCTATATCTATGTGTATATAGACACTATATAGAATGCATGAGAGAGAGAGAGTTCTACATCAGTCGTCAGTTTCTTCTCATAGGCATTTCTTCTCTTGTATAAATTCTTTCAAGTGTTGCATCTATGACTGCTTAATCGATAAAAGATAGCTTATTGAATGGTGATATGTAAATACTACTGTGCAGTTTATTGCAGCTTGCAAAAAGCCTCCAGTGTATTGCATAATCACGGAATATATGTCTCAAGGCACATTAAGGATGTTTCTCCACAAAAAGGAGCCATATTCTCTCCCAATTGAGATGATTTTAAGATTTGCTCTCGATATTTCTAGGGGCATGCTCTACCTTCATTCTCAAGGTGTTATCCACAGAGACCTCAAGTCAGATAATTTGCTCCTTAATGATGAGATGTGTGTCAAGGTTGCTGACTTTGGTACCTCCTGCCTTGAGACTCAATGTCGGTCCACCAAAGGATTCATGGGGACGTACAGGTGGATGGCTCCCGAAATGATCAAGGAGAAACCCTACACGCGGAAGGTTGATGTATATAGTTTTGGCATTGTTCTTTGGGAACTTGCAACTGCTTTAGTTCCATTCCAAGAAATGACTCCTGTACAGGCTGCTTATGCAGTGTCACATAAGGTATGTTCTTAATAATAGTCTTTAGGAGTTTCATGAAATTAATTTATATTGATGATATTCTTCACACTTAATGAAACATGTTTGACCTACTGAACATAATTTTTGGTGTGATGCGTCATTAATCTCATGCCTTGCTACTACACTTATACATGCACTTATTATGGGAGGAGTTGGTAACTGGGTGGGTAAATGGTGACTTGAATTTAGGTGCACTGGCATTTATTCCGTAACCACAAGAGTCAACTCCATTCCTAATTGACATGTTTGTAAGCTGTTTACTTTACTCATGCTATCTGTGTTTGTATATCACCGATTTTCATATTTCTGATTATGTGCAAGTTGCTATGCTGTGAGACCCGACATGCTGCTGCTATCTCTCTCTGTCACATACTATCTCTCTCTCTCCATCTCTCTCCTCCCCCCCCTCCCTTGTGTGTGTGTGTGTGTGTGTGTGTGTGTGTGAGATGTTATCCTAGGATCTAGATATGCCATATTAATGATGAACTTAGAACTTTCTACACTAAATATCTTGGCAAAAAAAATTCCCTTGCACATATAAAAATTACATGAACAATGACTTGTTTAAATTTTTTGAGAAAGGGCATATTTGTAATTTTAAATTGCTTTTAAAATTCAATCATTATTCAAAATGTCAAAGGAATAATTTGAGATTGAGTTTTTGAGGGATTTTAAAAGGAAAAAGTAACCTTCATAAAATGCATGTACCATTAATAGTCAAAAAAGTCATTTCAAAAATAGAAGGGCATTTTATGGTCAAAAGTTTTGTAGTAGTAAATTCGAAGTTCATTATTAGTGTGGTGTATCCTAGAATAACACAAACACACACACACACATACATGAGATCACCCCTGGTACTACTCTAGCCCAAGAGTGCTTGACTTTGGAGTTCGGATGGCATCGGGTGCAGCAGAAGGGAATATATACTATATTTAAGTGCACTACATAAGTTGGGAATTTGTATATTTATGAGGGGAATTAAGTCATATGTCCCCAATGTGATTTTATCTACACTTCCATATTGAGCTTATTCTTTATGGCACACATGTTGACTGACCGACTTTTTCCCCAAACAAGTTCAGCCTAAGTGGCAATGGGGGTGGCATTGGGCTAGCTAGTGGCAGATGAAGGATCAGCCTAAGTAGAACATTTGAGGTGATTCAGTGTGAACCAGAGGATAAACACTGCAAAAAATGAGGAATTTTATGAAATCTTTGGCACAATTGGTTATGCTTTGATCAGCTTGAGTTGGAACATGACCATAAGGGATTGGCATGAGATGTACAATTGCTTCCACTAAGCTAAAAGCCTAAAGTTGGTGTCTTCCTTATCTTATTCTGTGCTCTATCTCGTTTGTATCTTAGCTTGAAACTGAGTGATGTTTATTGCAATAGATCAGCATCCACTATTTTTTAGAGATTTCGTATGCGAGTAACCCATTCTTTTATGGTGGACCTGTTTCCCCGTGGGTTTGAGAGGTCACAATGAGGTTGATGGAGGGTCTGGAGAAAAATTAATCCATCATACTCAAACTTTCCATCTGATTGACTTAGGAATGTGAATTCATGATATAAGGAATAAACTTTGGATGCAAGGAAAGAGTATATATCTCCCTCAAATGATGGTCCTCTCATCTTGGTGCTTGACAGCCAGAAACCACACATATCTTCCTCCTTCCTGTAGGAATATGTTCTTGCTGATGATTTAGTGGTTCATCATGCGAAGCTATTGGAATATAAAAGCATATGTTGTTGTTTGCCTAATATCTTATGTGGGATACTTCGGCTGAACTTACACAAGAAAATGTTGGTCCCTTAGTCCTCTGCTAGTAGAAGCAATTTATTTGCTTGTTCAATAAAAACTAGTGATTTTATAATTCTGAATTAGTCGAGGACGAAACAGTTAATCTATGAACATAGCTGATATGATTTGTACTTCAAAAGAATACCATCTATGAATGTTAGAGGGGAAAATTCCTTTGATTGTTTCGATCACTGGAAATTGAGATGGAGCTCGGTGAATAACAGGAACTGTTATTCGACAGAAGAATCTATTGAAATTATTCTGCAATCTTTCTTATTTTACAACATTTTTAGTGATTGTAAGTAAGTGGAAGTTCTATTCTATCAGTTAATGATCACATCTGATTAGTACATAAAATGGAATACACCTCATTCAAGTGAGGGGTTAACTTAGGTTAACAAATAGCACATCCCCCTTTTTTTTACTTGTTTCTGCAGCCTAGATTTTTGCCTTTATTTAGATGAAGTCGAATGCATCATTTTCTATATATTTTGAGTAATCCTTTCAACTGGAGTATACATAGAATGATATGGTAGAAAGATAGAGGATGGATAAGTGCTTGCTGTGCAAAAACCATTTTTGTTATCATGAAAAATTGGGGCGCTAAGTGTTGAGGATTGATGTCTTGTATTATGAGGAAATATATCTGCTAAGGTTCGAATATATCCGTACATGAGATTCGATATATCTGGGACTTGGTATATATATCTGTACAAAGGTATTTTTGTAATTTGTACCATCTATCTGGAACTCGATATATACGTTGCGATTGGGGGTTCATCCAAAGTTAAGGGTTAAGGGACAACGCAGATCTCTTTGTAATTAAATAAAAACAAAGATACGAGAGGAAGAGAGCGAATTGTAACCCTATTCTGCATTGCCAGTAAAGAAGCTCTAATCTCCCGTGGACGTAGGCACGTTGCAGAACCATATATATCTTTGCGTTGTGGTTGATTGTCTATTTCTTTTGTGTCTGTTTCTTCCTTTTTGTTTTTCGTGGATTGCTTTTTCGTTTCTACAAATTGGTATCAGAGCCTACAAGGTTATTCCGCGTTTTGGGGCTTGCTACCACGATGACAGGAAATGGCTCAAGCGTCAAGTATGACATTGAGAGGTTCAATGGAAAGAACAATTTCACCCTTTGGCGAAGAAAGATGAAGGATCTTTTGATACAGCAAGGTCTGGCTAAGGCTTTGCTAGGGAAATTGAAGAAACCAGCAAAGATGGACGATGAAGAGTGGCAAGAGATGGAGGAAAAAGCGGTAAGTGCGATTCGTCTGAATCTCTCAGATGACGCCTTGCGTTATGTGGTGGATCTCGTAATTGCTCCGGAGGTTTGGACAAAACTCGAGAGTGACTACATGACGAAATCTTTGATGAACAACTTGTTCTTGAAGAAACAGTTGTATTCTCTTTAGATGGAAGAGGGCACAAATCTGCTTGAACATCTCAGCGAGTTCAACCAGATCACAAGCCATTTAGCAAGCCTTGAGGTTGAAATCGAGGATGAAGACAAGGCCCTACTTCTGTTGGCTTCATTTCCAGGATCATACGATCACCTGGTTACGACTCTACTTTACGAGAAGGAGACTCTTGAGACGGACGAAGTCACTGCTACTCTTATGTCAAACGAGACAAGGAAGAAGACTAGCAGTATTAAATCTCAAGGAGAATGTTTCTTTGGAAAACACAAAGAGAGTCATAAAAAGGGCAGATTAAATCAAAGGAGGTCTGGAAGCAGAAGTCGGTCAAAATCGAAGGGGAAGGGCAAGTTTAGACTGTCGAAAAAGAAAGGAGGATATAAAGAGGATAGAAATAGGAAAAACATCTGATGAAGCTAGCGTGGCCCATAGCTTTGACGGAGATGATGGAGATCTTCTCTCTATATCTTCAAGTAAGAATCAATTTACTGATTCTTGGATTTTAGATTTTAGTTATTCTTTTCATATGTGTCCAAATAGAAACAGGTTCAAAACCTACAAATCATATAGTGGTGGGTCTGTTCTAGTGGGGAACGATGCGGTATGCAAGACCATTGGAATAGGAACTATCAAATCAAGATGTTTGATGAGATAGTATGAACCTTATCAGACGTGAGGCATGTCCCACAATTAAAGAAAAACTTAATATCTCTAGGGGATCTTGATTTGAATGGTTGCAATTATACAGCAACAGGTGGAGTCCTCAAAGTTAGTAAGGGATCTATGATTGTCATGAAAGGTCAGATGACTGAGAACCTATGCAGGTTGATAGGGAATACAGTTACAGGTTGAGCTTCTGTAACCACAAATGTTGAGTCCAACATAGATGACACAAATCTGTGGCATATGCGTTTAGGGCATATGAGTGAACGAGGTATGATTGTAAAAGAAAATTGTTGAAGGGTGCCAGAGCCTGTAAACTAGATTTCTGTAAGTATTGTGTTTTCGATAAACAATGCAAGATTAAATTCAAAACTGCAATTCATACGAGCAAGGATATACTAGACTATGTACACACTGATGTATGGGGACCTTCACTAATCAATCCAAGGTGGGGCAGATACTTCATTACCTTCATTGACGATTACTCAAGAAAGGTCTAGGTCTACTTCATGAAACACAAAAGTGAAGCATTCATGATGTTTAAACAATGGAAAGCAGAGGTAGAAAGGAAGACAGGAAAGAAACTGAAATGCTTGAGATCAGATAATGGAGGGGAGTACAAATCTAGAGAATTTCAAGAATTCAAGCCAAGGTGGAGATTGTCGAGGATTGATGTCTTGTATTCTGAGGAAATATATCTACCGAGGTTTGGATATATGCATACATGAGATTCGATATATCTGGGACTTGATATATATATCCGTACAAGGGTATTTCGGTAATTTATACCATCTATCTGGGACTTGATATATATCGTTGCGATTGGGGTTTCATCCAAAGTTAAGGGTTAAGGGAAAACTCATATCTCTTTGTAATTAAATAAAAATAAGGAGACGAGAGGAAGAGAGCGAATTGTAACCCTATTCTCCATTGTCAGTAAAGAAGCTCTAATCTCTCATGAACATAGGCATGTTGCTGAACTGCGTAAATCTTTACGTTGTGGTTGATTGTCTATTTCTTTTGTATTTGTTTCTTCTTTTTTGTTTTCGTGGATTGCTTTTCGTTTGTACACTAAGGAGTTGTTTCCAAGGTCTGGAGGACTTCGATAGTGTCATCTCTTGTCGCTGCCTACGTACGTTTCATACTGGACTTTGGGTACACTTAGATTATGTTGAAGGTTTTTCCTTAAGTAGCAATGACCATAAGGTATCTCATTTCTTCATTTGCAATTTGTGACTGATACTCTCATGTTTGGTGATGCTACAGTGGATAAAGTTGCATATGGAAGTTTGTACTCGATGCTTTTTAATAGGTGTTCGGTTGAAACATAGAAAACAGAAGTGATCGAGGCCTCACATATGTGAATTTGGAAATGAGCTGATTTCTTCATAGCTAAAGATTTCTAACTCAAAAGCCCTGAATAACATTTAGATCAGGTCAAGTTTGTTTCCAAATGACACCCCTTGATGAGAGGAATACAAGGCTTTTCTCTCTCTTTCCTGAATGATCTGGTTCACATGTGTCCTAAGTGTCATACTACTGATGCCACCGGCAGATTGGATCAACATGCCACAACAGAATTTCAAACCATTGTAGAGGTTTCTTCTCAGCCCCTAGGAACTTTTAGAAACTACAACGTGCATATGGATATAAGGACATTTTTTGTCAATTCTGCACAAACAAGGAATCAAACATCTGTAGAATTTCGGGAACTCTGCTAGGATTTTGAGTAGTCCCTGTGAACCCTATTTTTCCTTTGCCACATGTCAAATAAAGAGGCTGAAGTTGAGAAGGAAATTTTTTGTTAGGTCATGTGGAGGGTGAAATACCACATGTACAACTAATGACATGTAGCCTTGCTGGTCCAAATGAAATGCATCCCTTCCTAAGAAATAACACAATACCTTCATGAAAACTTTCAAGTATGCCCTAATGAACAAGTCAATTTAGATCGATAGGATGGAATCTGTTTGTTGCAGGAAGCTTAAAGAATCTGGGTTGTTTTGGACAAGTCAGTTTATAACAAGTTGGTACCCAAATGATGATGGGAATGTTTATAACAAGTTGGTAAATTGAGATGGGAGGAAGCCTCCACTTGGTGGTTTCTGCATTCTTGTGATTAGCTTAGAAGAACAATGCTTAATATTTTTCACGATCGCTATGGGCATTTTCCGATGGCTATTATATGTAGGGAGGATACAGGCCATATCTTTGTTTATGTACGAGGAGGAGTTTTATGTCTCCAGTTTCTGATAGCTATTGTCATACTACTCTTAAATGGCTTGGGGAAGTTTTGACAGGAGGTTGCTTATACATTTGATAAATCGTGAACTAGTTGTTTCTACAAATGAAATAACATTCCCCTTGCCTAAGATAATATCTCTATTGCTCCAATGTCAACTTTGTAAGACCTGTGACACGTTAACTGTTGAGCTTCCATTGGATTTCCTTTTGAGAACTATCAATCCAGTATCTGGTTAATTTTGAAGACAGATCGACAAGAACCTTTCTCTTTGGATTAATTGGCTTTATACACGACTCTATGGCTTTCTTCTTCAGTAACATAATTGAATTGTCAAACCGTGTCATCAGAGTCAAACCTGTTACATGCATCCCCTAACCTTTTCCCTAGCCTGTTATGCACATCGATTTTAAAAAAATATTTCATTTATGTGGCTCTCATGAACACAGAAGCTGCATGCAAAATCAAAGTAGATGTGCTTTGTGGCTGCTTGTTGACATCCCTTGACCTTTGTTTTATGTTTTTGAGTTTCTTTGTAATTTATTTTAGTAAACATTTTTCATTGATGATCAGAAACACAAAAAGGAAAAAAAAATGAAAAGAAAGAATTGAACTTCATTTTTTAAGAATTAAGTGTTAGCATTGTCGTCGTTGTCACAGTTTTAAGTTTTAAATCCAATTTCATATTTCGATTAATACATGTCATGTGTTCACTTTCTTTTTCTTTTTGAAATTTACAGAATGCTCGGCCCTACTTACCAGCCGATTGTTCTCCGGCACTGGCCAACCTTATAAGGCAATGTTGGTCTAGAAATCCCGCTAAGAGACCAGATTTTAGCTCCATTGTTTCAGTGCTAGAGAGATTTGATGAATGCCAGAGGCAAACTAAGTCTCTCCTCTCAAATACTAAGGGGCCTAACAGCTATGAGCTTTTCAGGAACTTCAAGAGCTGTGTCACCTCGAGTTCATCTGAACCCATTCATTCCTGAGCCTAGGGGTGGGGCTTGTGCATACTTACATAGTGGTGGCTGATTAGTTCCATTTATTGTGTATATACCAAAACTAGTTGCTATTTGTGATTTTTTTTTCCCACTGCCCTTCTAGGTGGTACATATAATGAAATTGCTTGCTGTAGGGTGCCTTTTTGTAGACTCTAACATGCACATAGGGGCTTATGTTCTTACAAATTAAACCCCTCATTAGGAGTACTGTATTTATGGGACCACATGCCATATTTCATTGCTTGGACAACAAAAAACCCAGTATTTGTTGGCCATACTAACCCTTTTCTTTTGCCAAAAATGGAATTTTGGCCTTCCTAACTGGGGGTCCTGTGTCAGGATCCTCAAACTCCTTGTGCAAGCTTAACCTTTTTCTTTGTTTTTTTTCTTTATTCAAGGGATAATAGAGGTAGACTAATAAATGAGAAGGATTCTAAGAGAGCAACTCAATTGTAATTTGATTCTGAGAAGTGAAAATTCTGAGTATTATTTCCCAGTGTGCTCCAAAGTGCTTGGAATGAACTGTACTACAGCAGACAGTGAAGCGGAAAGAAATTGTATAACAGAAAATTTCAAACATAAGGAATGGAATACAAATTGTGAACTGTAAGTAATTAGATAATTAATTGCTAATTCGTTCATCAGCTTCAAATGGATTCGATGCCATGAAGTCAGAATGTGGGATTTGCCGAAATGAAAGAAGAAAAATAGACTGTAACTCTGCTCGAATCTTAGAGAGATAAAAACAGCAAAGATACAAGTACAAAGGACTTCAGTCGAGGTTCACACTGGACATTTATGGCTTCAAATTTGACTTTAAAAGAAATCAAGAAGAAAACCGCGTTTAATGTAATGAAAAGGGGAGTACAGAAATGTCCTCAGGTCAACTATTTTTTCTTTATGGACGTTGAAAAACATAAGCTTTCATGTTTAATTGAAAGATCACAAAAATGGGTCTAAAATGGAACTTAGCTGAACACTCAATAAACTTACGCAAAAGAGAACAACTCATTAAAGAAACAACAATTAAATTCCACAAACACATCTCTCTCTCTCTCTCTCTCTCTCTGTCTCTGCAGTTATGTCCCATGAAGTTGGTCAAAAAAGTACGAAGGAATACCTAAGTTCCAGGGCTGGCTAACGGTGGGCTCGGGGCAGGTTGGGCCCCGGCTTGAAATAAGTGGTAGATGGGGCCTGGCCTGAACCAAGGGTCCATGGTCTGACCGGCAAGCCTAGTCAATCATAAGGCTGGCAACGGGCTGGCCAGCCTTGGCCATGTTCCCCATAGGGCCGGCGCAGGCCTAGCCCGGCCCTAGCCCTATTTGGGCCAGGCCGTACAGTGCTGTGTGGGGCTAGATATAATGTTAAAAAGAATAAAAGAAAAAAATTAAAAAAAATACTGCTGAGCCTGGCCCCCGACCGGCCCTCAGGCCATATTTTGTGGCCTAGGACCTAAGTTTTAGTGCCAAGCCGGCCGCCTGGCCCATTGCCACCCTTAATTAACCATGCAAGCAAAGTTCGAAGTTTCAATTCTCAATCCACTAGTTGTAAATTATTTTATTTATAAAATTTGTAATGGATAAAATTCTCGATAAATATACTAAACTTTCATTACACAAATTGTCAAAAACATTATACAACACACACATAAGAATGACTTCATGTCACCACGTTATTGTAATATAATGAAAAACACTTATAGAAAACTATGTTTGTGGACCTTGTATAACATCAAAAAGTTGCAAACACCTCTTCAACCCTATAATCAATCACCACAAAAATAAAATTCAATTTGCTCCCTTCAAAATCTAGGCATTTACAAACTCAAAATCACTTTTTTCTTTTTTAATATTGTTCATCTAATATAATAAAACCATCTGAGAAATTTAGAAAAGAAAAAAAAAACATTCCAATGTCTAAATCTAAGCATCTAACCAAAATAGACAGCTTACGCTAATTTGGCTAAAAAACATTTTGTAAGGTATGTTTTCAATTTTTTTTTATTTTTTTTTGTGATTGTTTATTAAAATGAAAAAAAAAAACGAGGTCAAAGAATGGCTTTATTTTTGTTTTTAAAAGTTGTTTCGTTACGTTATTATGAAACCGTCGCATGAAATCATTGATCTCATGTTGTCATGATATTGAAATATAATGAAACCACATTTCTTAAAAAACCATGTTTGGGGCATTTGTATGACTCAAAATTTTACAAAGCACACTCTTTTCGTCCCAATAGTCAATCCTAAAAAATAATATTCGATTTGCACCCTAGATATGATCAAAATGATTCACCTCTAACAATGAATCTAGATCATCTATTTGGTGAATTTCAAAATCTAGGTATTATAAAATTTAGGAAAATTTATCCTTTTAACATTATTAATCCAATGCTAATAACTAAAATTTTAAAATTATCTTGTGGTCCATATTTTCAAATATTTTCAACAAGGTTCTTTTTTATTGGGCCTGTCTAATGTTCCATTTAGTGGACTAGCACATACTTAGCTTTTTGTCTTTGAAGTGTACAAGTATGATGTTTGAAACATCCAACTGCTCTAAAAAATTGGGCAGCTTTATATCTCATGCATTAGACAGCCCCACAAATGGCGAAAAATAAAAAAAGAAAGTATTTCCATATTTACAATATCAAACTGAGGACAAACTGGTACAAAGATAAAAACACAAAAAAGAAGAACCTCGCATAAAATTTCTAAAAACGTAGAACAAAGGGGAATTTCATAAATTTAGCCCAATCTGTACATAAATTTCCCAAAAACACATTGGTTTGCATGGAACCCGTCGAATTATATTTTGGTCAGTCAAAAAGATTTCATGCTCCTGAGGGAGCACACTGCCCATTTATTCCCTCAGATAAATCCCAATCTATGAATACTTTCAGGATCATAAATTTTATGGATGTATCCTCGTCAACTATATGCTAAACCTAATAAATTTTTCATCGAATTTCCATTCTTTTTGGGCTTCAAGAAAATAATGTCTCAAGATTAAATAGCAACGATCCAATATTTGAAGGATGAAACCTGAGTGTTAGGAAAACCAGATTTTTTATTAAATTGAAGAATTTAGTGATTTTTAGGTGGGTCCCAAAATTCTGAATAAAAAAAATTCTTCCCAAATTAGTCTCCTGATCAAGGGAGCAAGTTCACTGTAATGCTCCCACATGAGCATAGCATATGCGCTAGGGGGATGGGTCAGTACTGTAGCACTTCTCATGTTGACTTTGGAAATCACAGTTTCCACGTTACCTTATCATCCACCCATCAAACACGACTCCAATTTAGACGTAAGGAGGCTTGGACGGCTATTGTATTTTCTTCACATGAAATAATCCAAGTACTTTATGCCGAGGTCATGTTTTCCTTTCTCTTTATTTATTTATTTAGCCCAAAATATTCAGGGGCGTAGGTCGTTGGGGGGTGGTGTTGTGTGAAAGTAGGAGATGTGTATTCTGTACTTTAAGTACCGAACTTATACAAAAGAGAAGTTTTGTCCGACAATTGAAGTTCTCGAGCCAGACAAAGACAATGTTGTCCGCCAATTTTAAGTACCCGACTGGGTGAATTTTGAGCGAAAAAGAAAATGCCTAAGAAAGGACCCCAGTGTAAATATTGATATTGTTCTTAAATTCTAAAGAAAGAATTTTTTAGTTAAATTCAATAATTAAAAAATATTAATAATAAATAAATAAATAAATCCATGAGTACCTATATGAAAAACAAAGACTAGGGTAAGAATTTAAAATCCTTGTTGTGCCACTCCCAGGCTAAGCCAAACTCTCTGATCAGCAATTTGCATAACTGCTCTTTGTATAGTTGCATTTTCGTAAAAATTATCCCAACCATTCAATTAAATTGGACAGCTGGGAGTATAATTTATTATGAAATTTATCTGCTGCGGACATCACAGTGAGCTTCCTAATAAAGCATGTTTTCTATAGCTCACTTTGGGACTCTCTTAGAATTTGTTCAGATTGTTGAAGGATCGACAAGTTTGACTTGCAGTGACATGAATACTATAAGTCAAACTTTTTACCAAAATTTCCAGTGATTTTGGAGGTTCAAAGAGTGTATTTGGGACCAATATGGCCTTCATAATGTAATTTGGGGTTGTGCATAGTTTCGAGGGCAACTATAGTACAGAATCTAAGGATATATGGTGATCTACCACAACAACATCCACTACTCCCAAATCCAAACACTGTTAAAAACAAGACTCAGACGATTCGGCCGTGTCAAGTAATAGTAATAAAATATCAGAACGAGGCGAGTTTTGTCAGCTCCTATTCAGGTAACTTTCGGAACACAGTCTCTCGATGACGAGCAATGAGAGACTAATCATACATTATCATCTGCACAGCAGTTAATCTCAGCCATCTATCCCTTGGAATAATGGTGGAATCGGTAATTGTGGTCAATGCCTGGGTTAACACATTGTGTTTTGAATCTTGGACTATGTGCAGTGAGTGAAGGTCACTGTTGAACTTCAATTCATTCTGAAATGGTCCAAGGACTCCTAACCTTCAAACAGAAAAGGAAAAAGAAATGGTTCAGGATTCCTTATTAGCACGCAGTTGAGAACAGGTTTACTTTCCTTGGTTAAGTTCTGCATACTTGAGTGATCAATCCGTCACCTATACCAAACGGTGGGTCAATCTCAATTTAAGGTATAAATTAAGTTTTTTTGGTGATTTTTGAATTGACACGCCCCTTAGCCAAGTTGATAAGAGGTGAAGGGTCAAGTCATGTATTTGGTTAAAATTTTATGCTTCACACTAAACTTTTAAGGAATTTTTTTTTTCTCAATTAAATATTTTGAATTGATCATTGTCATCATTTGTGCCTTATCTTATTATTTGGAATCGGCTCCACGAGTTTTGTTATGTCATTCCACTTTATCAAAAGTCACATCTTTAGTCAGACCATAGTCACTATATCTTGTCCGATTACTTCCATCCAATTTCTATTGGGTCTTTCCCTTGTCTTTTTAGAGTTTTCCACTTGAACCAAATCACTCTTTCTAATTAATGGTGTTCTAGATCAATATTACATATGACTAGATCACCCAAGTTTATTTTCTCTTATCTTATTGTCTATTGGAGCTATCCTTAACTTCCCTCGGATGTATTCATTCCGAATTCTATATTTCTTGTCTTGCCACTCATCCATCTCAATATTGGCATCTCAGTCATATTCATTCCATGGATATATTGGTTTTTGACTACTCTAGATTCTATCCCATGGAGCATGACTGGTTTTATAGCCGTCTTATAGAACTTTCCCTTCAATATTATTGGTATGTAATAATCACATAAGACTCCGGCATCACATCTCCACCTCATTCATCCAACTCTAATTTTATGTGTGACATCTTCTTCAATCTTTCCATTCTTAAATTATTTTGAACCAACGAGTTGCCCAACGGGACTAAAGTTTTCCAATGTG